AGAGAAGGAAAGAGGGAGGTGGAGAAGGAAGCAAGGAGGAAGAGAAGAAAACAAGGATTTAGAGAAGGAGAGGAGGAGGTGGAGAAGGAAGCAAAGAGACAGAATGTAAGAGGGAGGTAGAGAAGGGAGGAAGGAGTTAGAGAAGGAGGGAGGTGGAGAAGGAAGCAAGGAGGAAGAGAAGAAAACAAGGTGTCTGGGAAGTAAAGGAAACAAGGAGGTGGAAACGTAAAGGAAAGAAGGAGGTGGAAAAGGATACAAGTAGGTAGAGAATGAAACAAGGATTTAGAGAAGGAGAGGAGGAGGTGGATAAGGAAGCAATGAGACAAAGAAGGAAAGAGAGATGTAGAGAAGGAAAGAAGGAGGTAAAGAAGCAGAGAAGGATTTAGTGAAGGAAAGAGGGAGGTGGAGAAGGAAACAAGGTAGAGAAGGGAGGAAGGAGGTGGAGAAGGAAGCAAGGAGGTAGAAAAGGAAACAAGAAAGTAGAGAAGAAAACAAGGTGTCTGGGAAGTCAAGGAAACAATGAGGTGGAAACGCAAAGGAAAGAAGGAGGTGGAAAAGGATACAAGTAGTTAGAGAAGGAAACAAGGATTTAGAGAAGGAGAGGAGGTGGAGAAGGAAGCAAGGAGACAAAGAAGGAAAGAGGGAGGTAGAGAAGGAAAGAAGGAGGTAAAGAAGCAAAGATGGATTTAGTGAAGGAAAGAGGGAGGTGGATAAGGAAGCAAGGTAGAGAGGGGAGGAAGGAGTAAGAGAAGGAAGCAAGGAGGTAGAAAAGGAAACAAAGTAGAGAAGAAAACAAGGTGTCTTGGAAGTAAAGGAAACAAGGAGGTAGAAAAGGATACAAGTAGGTAGAGAAGGAAACAAGGATTTAGAGAAGGAGAGGAGGTGGAGAAGGAAGCAAGGAGGAAGAGAAGGAAAGAGGGAGGTAGAGAAGGAAAGAAGAAGGTAAAGAAGCAAAGATGGATTTAGTGAAGGAAAGAGGGAGGTGGAGAAGGAAGCAAGGTAGAGAGCGGAGGAAGGAGTAAGAGGAGGAAGCAAGGAGGTAGAAAAGGAAACAAGAAAGTAGAGAAGAAAACAAGGTGTCTGGGAAGTAAAGGAAACAAGGAGGTGGAAACGTAAAGGAAAGAAGGAGGTGGAAAAGGATACAAGTAGTTAGAGAAGGAAACAAGGATTTAGAGAAGGAGAGGAGGAGGTGAAGAAGGAGGCAAGGAGACAGAAGGAAAGAGGGAGGTGGAGAAGGAAGCAAGGAGGTGAATGTGGAAAGAAGGAGGAAGAGAAGGAAACAAGAAGGTAGAGAAAAAAACAAGGATTTAGAGAGGAGGAGGTGGAGAAGGAAGCAAGGAGACAAAGCAGGAAAGAGGGATGTAGAGAAGCAAAGAAGGATTTTAGTGAAGGAGAGGAGGAGGTGGAGAAGGAGGCAAGGAGTTAGTGAAGAAAACAAAGAAGTAGAGAATGTAGGAAGGAGGTAGTGAAGGAAGGAGCGAGGTGGAGAAGGAAGCAAGGAGGCAGAGAAGGAAAGAAGGAGGTGAAGTTTTATTCCTTTCAGGTGCAATGATTTCAACATGAAAACAATAATTTGTGTGTTTTCTATAATCAATATATTGATGTTTTCCCGTCTGCAGCAGGCGGCGATGCTGTGACATCACACGGCCGAGGCGTCCAATGACAGCGCTGGGATCATGGATGCGTGTGGGACACCACACAGGGCGGACCAATGAGGACGAAGGACAGCCATGACGGACGGGGACGGGGCGGGGCGACAGAGCAGGGGTGCAGGAGAGGGGACAGGGGGCAGGCGGTGGTGAGACAGGCGGGGATGGGTGAGACGGGGGGCGTGTCCCCGCTGCCTGTCTTCCTGTTCCCCTCTGAGCTGGTGTTCTACTGTGAACAGAGGAGCTCCCACAGGAGAGTGCTGACCCTGTACAACCCCTACAGCTTCAGCCTCAGCTTCAAGAGTCAGTGTCTGTCTGTCTACCTGTCTGTCTGTTTACCTGAGTGTGTAGAGTCTTTGTACAGTCTGCCCCCTGCTGGCTCTTCAGGAGATAACAGCCTGTCTGTCTGCCTCTCTGTGTGTCTGTCTGTCTCTCTGCAGTGTTGTGCACAGCTCCCTCTCTGTACAGGGTGGTGGAGGCAGAGGGGAGTGTCCGAGCTAAATCCTGTGTGGACCTGTGAGTACACTGATCATGTCGTCCAGCCCTGCGTCTATGTTTTAAACACAGCACCAAAAATTGTGACATCACTTCCTCTTCCTGTTAGGGTGGTGCGTCACCTGGATGTCTCCCCCGGCAACTGGGGCCGCAGGGACCGGTTCCGTCTGGAGGTGAGGGGAGGAGGTCAGGTGGGAGGACGGGAGATCTGGGCCGAGCTGAGAGGAGGAGGAGGAGAGGAAAAGGGAGGAGGAGTAGAGGAAGAGGAAGAGAGGAGGAGAAGGAAACAACGAGGGGAGGAGAGGAGGACAGGAGGCCAGCAGAGGGCGCTGTCTGCTCTGTCTCCTCTGCTGGTGCCCACACACACACACCTGCAGCTGCCCACCTGCACAGGTGAGATGTTGCAGATCAACAGGGAGGCACAGCAGTGCACTCTGGGAACTGTAGTCAGCTTTCCTGTGAACATTGAAACCTTATCTGTGTGTGTGTGTGCGCGCAGGTGTGCGCAGTCTGTCTCAGTGGGTGGTGTGTGTGGTGGTGGGGGTGCTGTGTGTCGCAGTGTTGATGCTCCCCCTCCACACTGAGAGCAGCTCCGTGGTTCCACTCTGCCTGCACGTCTCCACCAATCTGAAGCTGGTCTGCGCCTACACACTGGGTAACACACACACACACACACACACACACACACACAGTCTGTCTGATGTAGAGAAGGAAACAAGGTGTCAGAAAAGTAAAGGACACAAGAGAGTGGAAAAGGATACAACAAGGTAGGGAAGAAAACAAAGAGTTAGAGAGGGAAAGAAGAGGATAGAGAAGGAGACAAGGAGGTAGAGAAGGAAGGAAGAGGTTAGAGAAGGAGATGAGGTAGAGAAGGAAGGAAGAGGTTAGAGAAGGAGATGAGGAGGTAGAGAAGGAAGGAAGAGGGTTGAGGAGGAAAGAACAAGGAGGTGGACAGGTAAGGCAAGAGTTGGAGAAGAAAAACTTGGAGAATGAAAAAGGATGCATAGAAGGAAAAAAGGTAGAAAGAAAGAAGGAGGTAGAGAAGGAAAGGAGGGGATAGAGAAGGAAACAAGGAGGTGGAGAAGGAAAGGAGGAGGTGGAGAAGGAAACAAGTCTGTCTGTCTGTCTCTCAGGTCTTCTCACCATGGTGTTTCTACGGTAACCGGTGACATCGTGCTGCTGCCTCCTCTTCTGTCTGAGTGATGGCGCCGTGGCAACCAAGGACCCTGATGACCTTTGACCTCCATGCTGTCCATCAGATACACACAGACTGTCTCCATGAAGTCAACACACACACACACACACACACACACACACACACACACACACACACACATCTGAATGAGTCATCAGTGACTGTTCAACAGAGTCAGATGGAACTTTATTTAAAACAGGAAACACACACAGTCAACCTGCGGGTCGAGACCCTGACGACGTCTTCAGGTGATGGTCGTCCTCAGGTGATGGTCGTCCTCAGGTGGACGTCCTCAGGTGATGGTCATCCTCAGGTGGACGTCTTCAGGATCAGTCACATGGAAAAAACACATTTCTGACTTTAATTTTAATTGTTTTGCTTCGTTGTTGTAAAAATACTTTTATGTTTCCTGCTCATTAAATGTTTGTTGCTGACGTCGTGTCATTCTGTCCTCAATGTTTAAAGGGACAGTTCAACATGTTGGTCTCTGTTGGTTAGCTTAGCTTAGCATAAAGAGTGGCAGACAGGGTGCGCTCCTTTCCTGCAGAACAGTCCAGCAGGAAGTGACCAAACCGACATCACACAACTAGTGGTGATGAAGACCCCCCTGCTGCGCCGCCTCATGTGACCTTGTCTCGGCCAAAAAGTTGCACATGAACACAACGCTAAGACTACAGGTGACGGCCAACCAGCACAATAACTGTCTACACAACCAGATGGCAGTCGTCTGTATTGTCATCCAAGAAGGGAAACAGGAAGAGCATCTTGATGCTAGTTAGCCAATTAGCACATGAACAACAAGCTGTTATTTAGGGACGGACTCAGCCGTGGCCAAGTCAACATACTGAATCTGTGGAAAATAAAGCCAGTGGAGTCCAACTAGTGAGACACACAACAAAAACTAGGATGACAGACATTGACTGACTGACGGCCCAACTTTGACCAACGACTGTCCATCACAACTTAAATTCAACTAAATATAAATGTTGAAATTTGTCTGTTTTTTTGTGTTCAACACATTATGACTTGTTTAGGACTTGGGACTTCGGACGTGCCTGTATTGTCTTGGGACTTGTCAGTTGGCACTTGACTCAGGACTGTCCTATCTTGACTTGGGACTTGCCTTGGGTCTTGTCTGTCTTAACTCAGGACTTGTTTGTCCTGACTTGGGACTTGACTTGGTCTTGTCTTGACTCAGGAACTTGTCTTTCTTGCCTCGTGACTTGTCTGTATTGACTTGGGACTTCTCTGTCTTGACTCAGGTCTTGTCCGTCTTGACTTGGGACTTGACTGGCTTGACTTGGGACTTGACTTGTCTGTATTGACTTGGGACTTGACTGACTTGACTTGGGACTTGACTTGTCTGTCTTTACTCGGGAATTGACTGGCTTGACTCTGAAACTGACTGGCTTGACTCGGGAGTTGACTGGCTTGACTCGGGACTTGTCAGACTTGAGTTGGGTGTTGAGTGTAAAGTCTTGTGACTTGTAGAACAGTGACTCGGTTCCTCCTCTAGTCTGTGACCTGCTGACAGGTCTGGGGAGAGGGATGTCCTCCATTCTGGGAGTTGTTGATTTTGTGGAAACTTAATAAACTAAACATGACGTTGTATCTTTCATTGCTGCTTAGCAACAGTAATTTGGGGAGGCGGGGCCTAGCGAAGACTGAGTGGTCGCGAGAACACTAATGCTCGCGAGACTTGCTTTTGACAACAGACTCCACCAGAGATCAGGACCAGAAACAGTAGAGGAGCGGAATGGAGGAGGACAAGAGAAGACGAGCAGCAGGCTCGTCCTGTGATAGCAGCGATGTTGAGGTGAGTGTTGATTACATCATCCATAAAAACAATAAAGACACGAGGAAGAGTCTCGAGGCTCCGTGGATCATCCGCTCATTCTCTGGTTCACTCTGAGCCTCGCGGCGGCCATTTTGTTCTCCTCTGAGTTCACTGAGAAGTCACTAGAGTCATAATATTTAATAACTTTCAGTATGGGCACAAAGCAAATGAGTTTGCTCATTATTGTTATCAGTCGGGACATTTCTGTCCTCTCACAGTATCAGCAGAGACATGTCCCCAACGTCCCTATGCAAATCTACACCCTTAGATCTGATGCGCTCATTCTCTGGTTACACATCACATCTGGAGAAAGGAAATGTAACAAAGCAAAAAGGTTTTTATGTCTCCGTGTTTCCTGTTTTCATCTTTAACTCACTCTTAGGTTAATAGAGAGTTGCGCGCGTGGCGCATTGCGTGATTATGCGAGAGAACAAATGGGACTGAGGGACTGTTCGTTACTTGTTAAGGGGGACGGGGTGGTGCACAGAGTTGGAGGTATGTCAAATAATTTTGTAAGCACATGATGTGTTTTCAGTTTTGGCTGAGGGAAGGGGCGTACATATTTTCAGGGTTGTATTTATTTATTTATGTTACCGCAGATCAATATTTTATCAGTTATCACAGCCAGAAACTGTAAAAACAGAAATGATGGCTGAATTTTTGGATTTTCACATTTCTAAAACCAACCAACCAAAACAAAAAAAGTGAAGGAGGGCGGGGGGGGGGGGGGGGGGGTATCAGTTATCACAGCCAGAAACTGTAAAAACAGAAATGATGGCTGAATTTTTGGATTTTCACATTTCTAAAACCAACCAACCAAAACAAAAAAAGTGAAGGAGGGCGGGGGGGGGGGGTTATTGGTTTAACCTACTGTTGAAAATCGCCAATAAAAGCTTCTAAAAACAACTTGGATGTGTTCCAGTAGGCAGTCCCTCCAGAAAATCGCGATCGCAATAATTAACGCAAATTCAACGAGTCCGCAATATTTGTGTGGGTTTGCAATTTTTCAAAAGAACCGTGATTTTCCCGCATTTTTCGGCATTTTCCAGCCGACCGGAAGTCGTTGCGCTCGCAATGTCATTTGAAACGTCAGCAGACGCGTCATCAAATGCGCTAATGGCATTGCAGTATGAAGAAACTGAGAGCTACAGTATTCACTCAGGATTATTGGAGTCCATGTTTTGAAACTAATTGAATAAAACTAAAGAAGAGAACTATAAAAAAACATTTGCAGCTATTTTTGTAATATTCACTACAATTATTATAGCAAGTGATTACATGGCTTATGTTTTTTGGAGGTAGTAATTGAAAAAAAACACTTTTTTTTCTCCTTTTGTCATTTGCCGCAATTTTTGTCATTTGCCACAATTTTCCACTAAAAACCCTGCAATTAGTATCGCAATTTTTGGCAAATTCAAGGTTTTTTTTGCTGTGAGATCCTGGAGGGACTGAGTAGGGATATGATTTAAAGTCAACAACAATGACCAAGATTACACGTTTGCCTGATGTTAGCATGTAGCTACATGTATGTTAAAATGGAATGGTATGGAAATTAGAAGCACTTTCTACTGTTAAAAAACCCCAATACAGCTTCTATAAACAACCCACACATTTTCTAGCCAGAATATGAAGTGACATTACCAGCAGTGACTGATGTTAGCATGTAGCTACACGTACGTTAGCAGGCTATTTGCAGCTTGGAAATGAGCACGGGCATCTTTGGTGATAAGGCCTGTCACAATAATTATGTAAACAACTTCTTGTACAACACTTGGACATGACAGCGATTATATTGTTGACCTCGAAATTGCCGGTAGTGTTTACATGTGTTCGTTTACATTAGAATGTCACCAATGACAGAATTCTCAGAAAAATTCTAAACAGCACTTTAAAGCTGACACAGCGTAGCTTACCGCTAGCCTGCAGCTGCACTTTTGGAGTGCAGTAGGCACAGTCCTGATAGTCGTTAGCTTGCTAACAAGTCTGTCGTATTTAGTTTTATCCTCCAACAACTTCATTCTCCACTCCGTTAATCCACCAGATCTTTGCTGAACTTGTCTATTAAGCCCCGTTTCCTCCAACACCGACCCTTCGCAGCGTTTATCTACATTTGAGCCATTGATGCCGGGTGTTTTTCACCGATCCATCCCTGTCTTTTTAGCGAATTCTGCGTCCACAGAATGAGACTGCACGCTGACATTTTCAGAACAAAATAGAAAGTTGTCAGAGACGCTGAATGAAGGAAGGAGTCACTGTGGACTGAAAACTGCTATCTCCATGGCGACAACAGTAACACAAGCAATCACATAACGCAACGAAATAGGATGTCGTCTGCGACATTACATTCTTCAAATGTGTGACATATTGAATGACACTTTGCTCTGTTGTTAATTTGTCATTTTTGAAAAGTGATAATCATTTCAAGTGTCAAGTGTCCTATCATAAACCAGACTTTCCTTTCTCTCTCTGTATGTCTGTCTGTTGCTATAGAAACAGGGAGGAGGCGACAAACTCAAGCCTCACCGCTGTGTGTTCTGTGACAAATCCTTCGCATTACCCAGAACTTTATGGGTTCATTTAAGAGTTCACAATGGGGTGAAACCATACAAGTGTGACCTCTGTGAGAAAGCTTTCACCACTCAGGGTCAACGAAAGATCCATCGACGTATTCACACCGGAGAGAAACCGTACAGCTGTGATCTGTGTGGGAAATCTTTCACCACTGGAGGCCAACAAAGAAGGCATCAGTACGTGCACACTGGAGAGAAACCGCACAGCTGTGACCAATGTGGGAAAACTTTTGGTGTGGCAGCTCATCTAAATGCTCACCTACGTATTCACACTGGAGAGAGACCGTACATGTGTGACCAATGTGGGAAATGTTTTCACTCCAGCGGCTATCTGAAAGTCCATCAGCGCAGTCACACGGGAGAGAAACCATACAGCTGTGAGAAGTGTGAGAAAGCTTTCATCACTGTAAGTCAACTAGAAGCTCACAAACGTGTTCACACTGGAGAGAGACCTTTTGTTTGTGGCTACTGTGGGAAAGCTTTCGCTGTTCAAGGAACTTTAGACAAACACCAACGCTCACACTTAAGAAAAACAACTGAGGTGTGAACAATGGGGGAAAAGGTTTTCTCGCAGAGGCTGCCTTATAGTCCACCAACGCATTCATACAGGAGAGAAACCATACTAGGGGTTTAATGATTTAATTTAATTTAATTTAATTTAATTTAATGATCAACAATATAATATCAGCGATACCGTGAAGACATCATAGCACATCGTTATTATTAGGATACACTTTTATTTTGAAAGTCTGTGTTACCGTCAAACAGCAGCTGGCAGAAAATGCCATGCAGCCAAGAGAAAGACAACGAGAATAACGTTATTTACTCTGAATAAATCAACAGTGTGGAAATAATTTGGATTATGGAGAGAATATGGGTCATCAGACAAAGAACATGCCGTATGCAAACAACGCTGTTATGTGATAAAACATGATGTACCTGCCTGGACAGGCATCTGATCCTGCTAGCTTCTCACTACAGCAACATCAGCTGCTCGGTTTCAACAATGCCAGGCTGGAATTCAACAGCTGTTCTATCGGGAGATTCTGTGACTTAAACCAATGACGAAAAAGTACAAATAATATGTTTTAGTAAAAATTATGAGTAGGGAAAAAGTCCGCTAGCTGCAAGGCTAGTTACTGCACTTTAGAAATGCTTAAAGTAATAATAGCGACTAGCGAAAATATTTTACATGTCTCTGAACCTTGACAGTTACTACTGAGCTTAATTTTGTGTTTTGTTGAATTATCTTGTTTTATGGCCGTTAGGAGACGTTTGTGAAGTCTGAGGAAGAGTTGTAGCTTCTAAACGGGAGCTGATCCGTGTGCGGACCTATTTGTTTTCTACGTTGTTTGGAGAAGTTTGTCTTCGGGGATTTAAGCCACATAGCTCTGAAGTTTTATGAAACAGAGGATGGTTTGGGTTCAAATGAAAAGATATCTTCCAGAAAGGTCTCTCTCTCTTGTCGGTGTGTTAGTGGAGTCAGTTTAAGGAAAACTTAACTGCATTGAAACATGTTTTTACATTATTAATGTGTTGTTTTTGTTTTTAGCGGCTGAACGTAAACGTGGAAGGGATGACGGTAGTGATGGTCAAATGAAGCCTCATGAACCATTTACTTTATTTTCTGACTTCACCAGATGGCGCTCTTGTTTTAAAGATAAAGGCTGAAGGAAAGGCAATGAGGTGTGCTTTCAAACCTTTGTTGAACAGACAGCGCCATCCAGTGGCTTCAGAAAATAAAGACAGTGGTTCACGAAGCCTCATTTGGCCATCACTAGATGACGGCACTTTCCGTCACCAGTTATGTTAAATGATTTGATGATATTGTTTCATATCAATCGCAGGCCCCTGAATTGAATAAAATCAAATTGAAATTGTATTGTGGCTGAAGGTTTAATGTCGTCAAATACTGTATTGTTGCCCAAAGAATCGATAAAATGTCGTATCGTGATGAAACCAGTGATTCACACCATTAGTGCCCATTTACTGCTCAACGTTAGATGCGTACACAGGCGGAGCCTCCTGTCCGTACTCTGCGTTAATTTCATTAGTATTTGTGAAGGTTTTCGGAAAGCTTAGAGATTTGGATGAAACGCAGCAGAACCAGCGGCGATCATGACGGCAGTGTGGACCGCCTGGAGATGACGAAGACATTTAGAAATGGAGGAACGGAACAAATCGGTAATATAGTGAGACGAATATTCCGTCCACGTTGTGATGCGTTTAATGACCTCGCAGGGCACCATCATGGAAAACATAGAAAGGTCATGGAATTTTATAATCTCATTTTCCAGGCCTGGAAAACTCAGAATTATTTTTAAAAAAAAATCATTGAAAGTTTTGGAAAACTCAAGAATTTTGTTGCCTGTGATGAAGTTAATTGTCACAGTAATCTTACGGTGATAACCTTTGTCATGTGACATAACTGAATTTATTTTCTGTAAGTCAGACGCCGACATAACGAAGCTCTATGTGTGCAGAAATGTACCGTAACCATGCCGACAGGTGCAGCAGACACAGTGAGGTTCATTATATGAGGTCCTTGAAAGGTCGTGGAAAAGTTTTGAAATTTGTATGAACTCTGCTCTGTTTAAAGGAGCATTATTACGACCTCCTCCACTGTCGCCTCGTTTGCTGTCGTTTAAACTTCTGACTCCGCCCTCTGCTGCCATCTATTGGCTGAATCTGTGACATCATAAAGGACGCAATGATGTTGTTCGCCTGTCCATGAAAGATTCAGATTTACCTCCAAGGTTTTTGTCTCCACTGTCACTGTCTTTGCCTGTTGGTGGTGTAAACCCTAACCAGGGACAGTGGTCACACATCAGTCATGGCTGGAAACATTGTTTACATCACATCTAGTTTGTAGAATTTATGTGAAGCAATGTGTTATGCATTTGTCAAATAAACAAGTGTTGAGATCACGGGTGGAGGTTTTCATTTAATCAATAAACAAAATTCTGAACTTTATCCTGGTGAAATTTTATGCACTAATTTAAGGTGGAAATGTTTTGATTTATGTGAAGGAAAACAAAATGCAGGCGATATGTGTCAAACTATAGAACAAGCTGTAGAATATAAAACTGCAGTAAGACTCATATTCTGTATTTCAAATATTTCTTTCTCCTGCAATTTATTTAGGACATCTGTGCACAAAAAGAAGGGCCCCGGGCCCCAAATCACTAAATCCACCTCTAGTAATAATAATAATAATAAAAGCAGAGGGAGGAGCGGCTGGATGAGTCACAGAGCGATGCGTCCTCGTATTTAAACATAAATCCATCTAAAGTCTGACTTAAACTAAAACCAACACAAAGTAGTCTGAAGTCTGAAGACGTCACTTTCCACTGCTGAGCATTTGACAGCAGTGATGGTCAAATGAAGCCTCATGAGCCACTTTCTTTATTTTCTGACTCCACCAGATGGCGCTCTTGGTTTAAAGATAAAGGCTGAAGGAAAGGCAATGAGCTTTCAAACATTTGTTGAACAGACAGCGCCATCCAGTGGCTTCAGAAAATAAAGACAGTGGTTCACAAGGCTTCATTTGGCCATCACTATTTGACAGTCCTCTGAGGTGGAGCAGGTCAGGGGACGAGGAGTGGACAATGAGAATCCTGACTGACTGGAGTGCAGAACCTTTTCACCATCTGATTCCATTGCATGTGGAATTTTAGTTTTTCTGGTGCCCAGAGAACAAACCAAAGACTTTGTTCCAAAACAGCACATTTACATGTCCAACATGTGTCGAGTCCTTGAACACATCATGTGCGCCTAATGGTTCAATCAGAGAAAAACAAATAGAACCAAATCTGAGCTGATAATAGTCATAAATTACTTTATTCTACGTCTCATTTAAAATTTGGCCCCAGGAAGTACAAACTAACCAGCAGCACCACAAGAGTGAAAAACTGAGGCTTTTTTTTCTCAACTCCAGGATTTAGTCTCCAACTTTTAACTTTCAAACATCAACAGGCACGTTTTAAATAACTAATTTATGGTGAGGAGGGTCGTGTGTTTTCCTCCACTCCCTCGGGGGGAGTCACACAGCTACACCCTCTTCTGATAAATAAACAACAGTCCCTAAAGCTCTACAGATCCCTCTTTCAATAACTGGCAGGGGATCTGCTGCCTAGCAACAGTAACCAAGAGGGGCGGGGCATGTCCAGGAGCAGGAGGAGCAGTAGAGGAGCGGAATGGAGGAGGACAAGCAGAAACCGGAGCACCGGAGCAACAAGGTCCGGAGAAGACAAGCAGCAGGCTCGTCCTCTGATAGCAGCGATGATGAGGTGAGTGTTGATGACGTCATGGATAAAAAGGGCTTGACAGCAGCCACACTAAAGACACGAGGAAGAGTCTCGAGGCTCCGTGGATCATCCGCTCATTCTCTGGTTCACTCTGAGCCTCGTGGCGGCCATTTTGTTCTCCTCCTGTACTGGTTTCCAGTCTGCGGTCAGTGCTCCGGGTTGTTCTGTCTGCTGGGATTCAGGGACAGTGGACTTCCGGTTTGACGGACAGAGACAGATGGTGATGAAGGACAGGTTGTTGTCTCTGGGTGTCCAGTTATAGTGGCGGGAAAATGGCGCCACGAGGCTCGTTTCTGCAGATGTTGAGAGAAGCAGTGTTGAAGTGGACCGAGCCTCATGTTTCTGTCCGCTCGTGTTCAGCTCACATCACCATCACTGCTGTCTTTGTTTATACAGATGTTCTCACGCGGCGCATTACGTGTTCTCGCGAGAGCTAACAGAACAAACAGGACGTCTGTGAGATGAGCTGCGGCCTTCTTTTTTTTTTATTTAGCCGCGGTGTTGAGTAAAAATAAATAAATAAATAATAGATTTAAAAAATACACACACACACACACACACACACACACACACACACACAAGAGAGAGATATTAATATATATTATAAATTAATTACATATATTATTAATTGGATATTATATATATCTAATTTTTCCACATTCAACCATTTGAAACTGGTGGAGTGTTAAGAAATATTTTCTTTATGATTCTACATGTAAACATCTTTTGGATTAAAATGTTTTGTGTTTTTATTTTGGAGAAATGCGATGGAATAACGGGTCAGATTTTTTTAATGACACAATTTAAACACTTTAATCATTTATTATGGTTTATTCTCTTAAATAATCTTCAAGCTGAGATGGTACAGATTTAAAGACACTCCCAAGATTTGACATCACGTCAAGGTAAAATACCAAAGTAGGCACTGACAGTCCGTCTCTATTGCAGAGTTCAAAGGGTTAATAAGAGAGTGTCTATTACACTTGAAGAAAAATTAAGTCTTTTTCATAATGTAAAGGTTTTTTCCCTCCTTCTTCCTTCCCTACTTTTTAGTCAGTAACTAAGATGCTCAGGGGAAATGTAGTGGAGCAGAAGTGACAGTTGACAGAAATATGAAAACTCAAGTAAAGTACATACTCCCAAGAAATATTTAAGTTCTCTATACGTGATGTAGTGAGGCGGCGTTTGTTATGTGAAGCGAGACTCTGCTGCATGTCTCTGTGTAGGAAAGTACCATAACCAGGCCGGGGAGTGCAGCAGACAGTGAAGTGGACGCTCTTCCGAAATGAAAACTGTATTGTGACTATCAAGACTAAGGTCTAGTCCACATGGACCCGTGTCCTTCTGAAACCGTGTAATATTCTATGCGTTTGGCCACATGCAACCGCACTTTTGGGCCCCCGAAACCGTGTTTCTCTGAAACCGGAGTCCAGGGTGAAGTTTTTGGAAGACTCCAGTGCCAGCGGTTGCGTGTAGATAGGATAACCGCAGTATTTTATTACCTGTCTCCATTGTTTGACGTCAGAGCGACGGTAAATAGCTAGTGAAATGGCAGACCGAACAAACATGCTGGTGCTAACTTTATTTGTGAGCGTGCTATCTGCTCTCTTTGGATGGCATATCCAGCTGCTCGACCTCACGACCAACGAAGGAGGCTGTTCCTGTTGCTAGTTTCCCCAACTACACTACCATGAAAGCAGCGACGGGCCTGCCAACGGAAGTTCTGGATCCGGGCAGGTCGGACCTCAGACTGGTTCTCGAAACTTTCCCACCAGTCTGAGGTCCGACCTGGCCGGATCCAGAACCTCCGTTGGCAGGCTTTCGTGGTAGTGTAGTTGGGGAAACTAGCAACAGGAACAGCCTCCTTCGTGGATCAGGTTGTTTTCATCTTCCGCACTTCCCTATTCCGGTATTGACTCTGACTTCTGATTGGTTAAAATGGCCTTCCTGTTAGAAGTTACATCACCACCTACTGCTTTGGCATGTGTATTACATCACTTGGTAGCGGGTTTCGTGTGGATGTCATATTTTTTTTATCACACCACTTATGTGGACGAATTTTTTTGGGAAACCGGAGCCTGAAAAACTTCGGTTTCAGAAGTATACGGGTCCGTGTGGACTAGGCCTAAATTAGTCACTGAGAGTAGAGTACAGGGATCTGTCTGACACGCTGAATCTAACGAGGAAACATGAACCAAACCAAAACATTTTCAGGCAGATGCAGATGATACTCAACAGGCAATCATTCAGCCTCAATCACACCCCACACACACACTGCCTCTACAAAAATTTGATGGAAAGATTTTGTCCATGAAAATGTGGGAACTCTGATTTATATGGTGTAATAATTAATCGGTAATCAATCGTACTTATACGAGGGATGGGCAGCACAAGCAAAAACACTATTCGAAAATCATGGCAACTATGATTTTTCGAATAACAATGTCACGGATAAACATGGGTAAATGCATGAAAAAAAATCATCACATATCACATCTGATAATGGTATTCATTTAAAAACACATTGTGCTCGTTTAGCGCAATATTTCATGTAGTTTTTACCTGCTGGAGGGGCTCGTAGGGGAGCGTAGCGCGACACAAATAGAAGAGCCACGTAAAATAGAGAGTTGTCGTGCAACAACCCTCTATTTTACGTGGCTCTTCTTCAGACGGGGGTTGTCACGCTGCTCCTGTTGCCGGTGGAGCCGGCTGTGCATGCTTGTTGTAGACTTGTGATACGCAAGCTTTGCCTCACAGAGTTTGCACTGCACCTCATTTTCGTTTATTTTGTCGAAGTTGTTCCACACGGAACTTTTTGATGACTGTAGTAGTCTCTGCATGTTTCTCCTGTTTGTAGAAGAGCATCAAACTAGCTGGTAGCCCATCTCACACCGCTGTAGCAATCCTAGACTGCCCTCGTGCGGTTAGGAGCTGAATTGCATGTCAAATAAAGGGGGGAAATAAGACGGTGAATAGTAATAGTCGCATTAAAAAAATCGATTTTTCAAAATAAAACGACTATTCGAAGATTCCAAAGTCGTGACCCATCCCTAACTTAAACAGTAACCACCCTCTAAACTTTTTCCATTGACGTAGCTCTGAGGCCATGTTTTTGTGGATTTTAGCAACTGGCACCTCAGCTTTACGGCTTTTTTTATGCAGACATTTTTCTCTATTGTCTATTGTATCTGTACTGTAAACACGCTCAACTATTAAAGCTGGGATATTTTTCAAATGACAGACTGCTTATCTTTGTAACTTTAAAATAATTGAAGGAAACGCACACAGATGAACTGTTTATGGTTATTGGCAATGTGGTCATCAAGTGTCAAGACGCTCTTCCTGTTTCCCCTTTTGAGTGATGAATACAGACTACTGCCATCTGCTGGTGTGGAGAGTTATACATATGTGCCGCTTGGTCGTCCGCTGTCGTCTTTGTGGTATGTTCATGTGGGGCGATGTGAGGCGATGCAGCGCGGGGCCCTCGTCGATGCTAGTTCTCTGAAGTCGTTTTGGTGTGTCTCAGTGTCTCAGTGTTTGAGTTACATTACAACCTGTTCACCCTTTGGAAATAAAATAATAAATACATTTATATAATTAGTAAAATGGACGCAGCAGTC